TAATTATTGTTTATTCGTCGTTGTTAGGATTTTTTTTTTTTTTTTTTTGACTACACCAACTCATTAACTCCAATTAAGAGTTACTTAAGACCTCAAATTCAAACGGAGATTATGAAGTAGATTTAATGAAGAAAAATATAAATGTATTRAAAATTTTCGACAAATCATTGATTGAAATTTCAAAAACTCGGCACGTCCAACAGAGCTATTAAGACATTTCTGCCAATGAAAAACCTCGGCTATTTATCGCATCACTCCCTATTTATTTTACTCCCTGCTATGAATCGATGGCTGGTTTTTTAGAGAATTGAGAACGAACATATGAATGTTTTTTAATATGCCTCGTAAATCTATTTTAAACGAAGTCTTTATATTAACAAATTGTCTTATTTTCACTAGCTTGACTAGATTTTATGACGCTCCTATCTAATTAACGGGCGAGAGAATCAAGTAAAAATTGGCTTGTTTTTCTTAGTGAAGTTAATAAGACATGGAATTCAATAGTTTTAGTTTCCTCTGTTGTTGAGTTTTCTAGTAGATTAAGAAGATTAAGAAAGAGTTAAGTGTTTTTTCTACAGATTGAACAAATCCTATTAAAACTCAGTGATTGCTAAAAAAAAAAACAAAAAAAAAAATCACTAGAACAAAAATCTACTTCCCTACCCCCCAGCGACAAGATATACCAAAATTAATGCCATGATGTATGGACTTGATATCCAATTTCTCCTTCGCCGACCCCCAGGGACGYTTATTTCTGGATTTCTGAGGTGACAAATTATACCCATGTGACTTTTTCTTAATCAAGCATTGTGATTGGCTGCTATCATATGCTTTTGATTGGCTGTGAGGCGAGGCCATATCGGGATTACGAATCTTTGCATTTATTCGCACTTGACACTCGTCCAAGCGAACATGTTTGTTGTTCGATAGATAACYATGAGTCTCAATAATAATTCTAGCTACAGAATTCAAGGACAGAATGATTCATCAGTTACTAATGTTGCTGATTTTCGTCTACCGAGATGGTACGTCGTATGTCTGAGCTTCATTTCCATTCTCACTACAGCAGGCAACGGTTTTGTTATTTTACTTATTTGTACAAGGAAGCGCCTTCGACGAAGAGCATCTCCAAACTGGTTGATCCTATCTCTTGGAGTRGCAGATTTTTGCGTAGGCTCTTTCAATATTCCAATCATCCTTATAAGAGATCACTTTGATAAKCAATATGGGAGTGTTTTCTCCAAAATCGTGACTATAGGATATGGGATTTTCATTAGCGCTTCKATTACAAATCTATGTTTCTTGACTATCGATATTTACCTCGCTGTTGTCCATCCTTTTGTGYACTCCAAGTTCATGAAGCCATCGAGAACACTGTTGTTAATTTTTATCGCTTGGCTTGTCCCAGTTTTGCAAAAAGTCCCTTTGATTGTGTCACTCAGTGTCGATCGCTTAAAAGAAGAAACGAAGTATCTTTACGAAGTGAGTAGGTTTATAATGCTTGCTTTATTACCAAGTCTTTTCATGGCTTACGCATATATCAGGATATTTTTCGTGGTGCGAGGCCATCGAATGAACATTGAGAAACATGAAATGCAAATTATGACCAACGATTTTAAACCTAATCTTCAAAAACAACGAAGCAAGTTCTTGACTAACGACGGCACAGTCAAAGCTGTAGGGATTGTAGTYTTAATCTTTCTTATTTGTAATGGTTTTTTTCAGTATTCGTCTTTATCTTATTTGGTTTCAAGCGTTCATTTGACGCCTTTCTGGTATTTTATTATTTGGATTTTAAAATATTTCAACTCGGCGTCGAATTTTTTCGTGTATTCTGTAGTAAGGACGGACTTTAGTAAGGAAATGAGGATACTCGTACGAAAGTACTGGATGGCCAGAAGCACAAACACTTTTTAACTTAGATTAAAGGAGTCCAGGTTTATTTCGATCTTAATCTAATAATCACAGTGACAACGAGGAGAAGCAGGGCTGGTGAGAACGAGAAGAAGGAAAAGGAGTAGAAGAAGAAGAAGAAGAAGAAGAAGAAGAAGAAGAAGAA